CCGCGTATCCTGTTTGTACCCCGAGGCGGAGTTCGCAAACTGAGGTAAATTTTTGCGGCCAGAGCTGGTTGTAACCCGAAAAGTTCATTAACAGAGGCGTTCATAACCCGAGGTACCACTGTATAAATTTACTTCTTACTCTATGGTTTCAACGTAACTCTCTTCTTTCTATAATCTGTCCTGCCTGATCATCAGAACCCATAAATTACATTTTTTTCTGTTTCATGCAAAAAGTATAAGGGAAAACATGGTGGGTTTTGGATGTAAGGCTACCAGTGGATCGGCACGGATTGATTTTGAACGAGAAGAAAAATCTGTCGCTTCGCTCCGTCGCTCTTCTCCCTTGCAGTGTGAATTTCCGCTTTCTCATTTCACTTCGTGCTTTGGGGTTCTTCTTTTTCGGCCAGAAACCCTCCCTGTCGTGTCTGCGGCAGCAGTGCTCTGAAGAAAAAGAAGAGAAGCCGCCGCTGAGGCAGAAGTTTGTCCACTCGGAAATGTCCGAAGCCGTTGAGCGGGCCAGGCGGCGACGGGAAGAGGAAGAGCGGCGAGCGCGGGAAGAGCGCTTGGCCGCCTGCGCGGCGAAACTGAAGGAGCTCGATCAGAAATGCAAGCTGGCTCAGAAATCAGGTGACGGCCACAAGCACGAGAGCGATGAAACCCGATCCTCGGTCTCGGAGAAGAACGCCGTCTTGGAGAACAGCCACGCGGCCCGGAGAGGTAGGGGCTTGTGGATAGGGGAACGGTTCAGCCGTTCTGGTGGAACCCGGATGCTGTAACTTTCTGTCTAGGAAAAAACATGATGAAAAATTGTATATGCATCCCATTGGGTGAATTTGTCATTAGCCCCATGATATTTTTTAGGGTCTAACCCAATGTTTCTCAACCTTGGCCACGTGAAGATGGGTGGACTTCAACTCGCAGAATTCCCCATCCAGCATGGCTGGATGGGGAATTCTGCGAGTTGAAGTCCACCCATCTTCACATGGCCAAGGCTGAGAAACACTGGTCTAACCCAACTGGTGCCATCATTGCAGGGAGCTTTCAATTTTTGCCTTCTCCTCCTCCTCCTCCTCAACAGTCCCCGAGTTTCATACCCAGGAAGCCCCTTCCGGTTACCCGGACGAAGAGACCCCTGCTGCCTCAACGGCCCTCCGGAGTAGCAGCGAGGAGGAGCTACGAGAAACAGTCTCTCCTGTTCAGGAGTTCAGCAAGTTCCCCAAGCTTCTCCCCCCGCGATTCCAGCGAAAGCAGCAAGTAAGAGAAACAAAACAGTGTCCGTTTCGATAGCGGGACTTAGGGCGGGCCTCTTCTGCCCTTCATTTGGGGTTTGTTGCAAAGCTCCTGGCGCAGTCCCATCAGGGTGAGCCCTGTCTGGGTCTGCCGGCAGCTTGGATTTAGCGAGGACTGCAGCTTTTCGACAGCACCACTTTGATCGGCTTAGGTTTCGCAGACGGGAATCACCGAGGGGGGGTTAGGTGTCTGTTTTATCTTGAAGCCACCTCTGGGATGCCCTCAGCCAAAAACAGGGTGGGAATTTCAGCCTGCTTTCCGCCGTCTGGAGGCCCTGCCGTGGTGGTGGGTGGGGTCCTTGTGGGCTGAAAAAGATAATTTTAAAAAGTGCAGTCCCCAGAGCAAATCATAGTCCATAGTTTCAAGAGATAGAGGGTCCCCGAGACTGTTTACCTCCCAGTCTCGCCCATGAAGACTTGTCTGTTGCAATTTTCGTCGGATTCCTTTCATTTTCAGTCCAGGAGCTGCGTCCTACCGATATGTTAGCTTTTCGTGTGTCTTTTTTCAGGACCAGCTCTACAAGATGCAGAACTGGCAGCCCTCACAAGTCTACCCACCTTCTTCCCACCCCCAGCGGACTTTCTACCCGGCCCACCCACAGATGTTGGGGTTTGATCCCCGATGGTTGATGATACCTTCTTACATGGACCCACGGGTACCCCAAGGACGTCCTCCTGTGGATTTCTACCCTTCAACCCTCCATCCATCAGGTAAAGCATATCTGTGCATCGACGCGAAGTGCTCTTTACACTAACCACAGTTTAGAGATCTGAAGATGCTGCAGAGAGCCTTTGTAGAACTCCAAGTGGGAATTCAACACCCGTTATTGGTTCGAGCCAATGCAACGGCTCAGATCTACTCCGAAAATCAGATTAAATAGCTTTGAGGTTCCGAATGGACTCTGTTGAAAAACAGGGGGCTTCGTACACATCCAGCCTCTTTCACAATCGAGTCAGGAGAAGTCTTTCCAGCATCTTTCCCGATCATCACTGCAATTCTGGGCCTTGATTCAGAAATTCAGTCTGTTTGTCTTAGAAACAAATCTCCAAATCAAAGCTTCTCTGAGTCCTATCAGAACCCAATCATAGTTGGCGCTTCTGTTTAGGCTACCTATGATTCAGAGCAAATAAATTATGGAAACACCCAAGCTTTGGTGTCCTCCCAAGTCACGTCACTGGCAATTGGGAAGAAACAAACAAGCAGAATGGTCATGAAGTATTCTTAAAATGTAATGCTCCTGTTTCCAATTTAAATCCCTATCCTGAATCCCCAGAAGTGAGGGGAAAAAACAGCATATTTTTGGTCATATCCCCTCCTTTCCTGTCAATGTAGCCACATCCTTTGTAGGAGATGTTAATTATATGTAGTGCTATATATTATTTATTTTATTTATATTTATTTATATTTCAAATTTGCCATCACTGTGGGGTGACTGGGGGGTTTACAGTAAAAATATACATATCGTGTGTGTGTGTGTGTGTAATAAACATGTATGGGTCTGTGTATATTTACATATATATATATACACGCATGCACACATACATATCTATAGTCAAAGTATTATATATTATAACAACCTGTAGTTTTCAGAACAAAATAATATATTCAGTCACTTAAAAACCAATTAATGAAATGTGGAAAATTTTAATTGTATGATGCTTGTAAGTTCCCTGTTCATTCACTGTGTTTTATTTTTTTTTCTCTGTTCATTCACTGTGTTTTATTTTTTTTTCTCTTTTCTCTTGTTTGTTCTTTTCCTGTTTCTCTTTTTTTCAGAAAGGCTTATCTATCTAGCCATCCACCCTCATATCTATCTATCTATCTATCTATCTATCTATCTATCTATCTATCTATCTATCTATCTATCTATCTATCCATCCATCCATCCATCCATCCATCCATC